GCTTCCGGAACCTCACTGAAGTTCTCGCGCAGGTGTTTTTTGAGATTGCCATTCGTTTACGCAGGTTAGCGCGAGAAATGTGGGCAGGGGAGGTAAGGAGGATAGATGGGGAAGGGGGAGGGAGAGGGGTGGAGGGGGGGGGGGGGGGTCGTACGGATGGGTACCTTCAAGGGGGGGGGGTCGTAAGTGAGGGTCCAGGATCGCATCAACATGCTTGACCCTGGTTGACACTCCTCCCTATGAAGCTGGGATAAGATATGGTACAAGGATGTAAGCAATATATTCTTTTGAAAAAATGGGTCCGGATAACGGAAAAGTAGCAAATTTTCTTTTTTTTTCCTACATAGTTGAAACCCGAGAAACACACATACACCAATATGGACAAAAGCGGCCAAAACGAGCCTTTTTCAAGTTTTTTTTACACTTTCAATATTTCCCAAAAACTGTACAAAAAACAACAAAAACTTTATAAAAAGCCAAAAAGTCATGGCTTTACTTCCAAAAGTTCATACTTTAAAATTACCTATCTAAGAGCAGCCAAGCGCAGCTTTGGCAAAAAAAGGTAAATTATTTTTTCTCCATTTCTAGCCCTGAAAAAAAAACTAGCGAATTCACAGATAAATGCCACATGGAAAAGGTATGTATATTTGGGAAACTTCTTGTAGACCTTGCTCATTTTTGGTGTTTTCGGTCGCGATGCCATGGCAAGCAAATAAAAAACAACATTATTTTCTTGACAACCTAATAGTATTGAATTACATATGCAAGAACTGCTCAGCACTGTTTTGAGAATATGACGAGAATTTTTGTTTCTCCAGTTTCTACTCAAGGAACAAATACAGCAACTGTATATATAGATGTCTGATATCGAAATTATGGATGAATGCGAGTGGGAGGTCCATAGCAACCATTCAGACGGAGATCTGATTTCAATTTTTTGTATTTAGAAATCTTAAAATTTTAAGTTCAAACTTTCCATGGATCAAAAAGGGTGCCGAATCATCAAAGCCAGCTTTTAGAGCTTGCTTTGCTCTTTGAACATTACCCTTTACCTTTTTCTGAGTTAAGCCTGGTCCTTCGCTAGAGCAAACAATCAAAAAACGGCATGATTTTCTTGACAACCTGACACTAACCTTTGCAAAATTGTCACAAATTTTCAGCCTCCTACATTACTTAATTCGCAAAAAACATCAAAATCTGCATAACAACTCGAAAGGGAAAAACTAAATTTGATTATCCTTCACGACTAGCCTTTGCAGATGGCATGCTTGGTACATTTGATTGTGTGGAGCGGCCTAGCACTACTCTGAAAGAAAACTGAAATCTTTCGTTTTTTCTATTCCAAGCCGTGGAAAGAATACAGCAACTGTGCATGCTGATTCTGATGTGCAGAAAAGATGCTTAGGCAACTTGGATGCTTCGTAGGTTTTCTTCCAAGAGAAAATACGATTTTTTCAATTATTTGAGCATTTTGAACCTTTAGATTTTGAGTTGGATTACTGTGCATGAAACATGGTGCGATTGTTTGAGAACCGCCTTGTAGTGCTTGCTTTGCTCTATCAAATGATACCACATGCACTTTTTTGTGCTGACCCTGCTTCCATATCGCATGATAGAACAAAATACAACATTCTTTTCTCTCCAACCTATAATATAAATGCACAGAAAATCAAAATGAATTTGTAAAGAGATTTACTGGGAGCGCAGCTGTCTCCTCCGCTAAGATTTGGAGGTACAGGCCCGATAAAATGAAAAGAATCTTAGAAAAAATTTCGGAAGGCTTCATCCAGAAAACATTTTTGTTCCCAGTTCCCAAAAAAATTCTTGAACCACCACTGATACAAATATCTTTACTCCTACCACCTCGAAAGAGCGCCTTCGAACAGCGCCGACAGCCGCCGCTAGCAACTTGTAGCCGCCGCCAGCAGCCGTCAGCTTTTGGCGCCATTCCACATTAGTTGACTCAAAAAGTGAAAATAGGTAATTCATTAGAGTGTCGTCTAAGGGAATTATTTGGCACGCTGGTCACACCATACTTATTCTGTACAGTAGCATCTATATGGTGAATTCACGGTAAGGGAATAAAATCACGATCGCGCGAAAACTTAACTACGGTGTCATCCGGCATGCTGAACACGAATATCCTGACAACTCTGCATGACGGCGTCATTTTCTTTGGTTACGGTGAACATAACTCGGAATGGCTCAAAAACTCAAACGGGTTTCTTAGGCATGCTGACTGCAGATATCATGCTCTTCATTGCAGAAAAGTTATCATAAAGTGATAGCAAATTACAGTGTCTAAATAAAACGCTGATGGCTGCTGGCGGCAACTGCCGACGCAGATAATGGCAAATTAAACTACCAAATTTCCCAGATGATCTCTCGAGATCTTCGAGATAAAGATGAAGGATTAGAAGCTTCTAAAATTTTGTTGCAGTCGAGAGGCGGCTTACTTTCCAAAGCTCTAAACGCCACTTGTGCCTAAATATAATTTTCCAGCACTGAGGGAGCAGTGACAGGTTAGGAATTTCTCGGAGTTATTTATTATCAGTTGGGTTGAGTCAAGCTCATTTTATGCAACTCTTCATAAAAAAAATTCTCCTTCTTTTTTCAAGAAATCTTGATGGGAAATGGCTCAAAGCTTCCAATACCACACATCAACTGCTCAAATTTTACCATCAACAAGGAACACTTATACCCCTACATGTATGATCCAAAAGCTTACTCCTTCGAACTTCTTGTGCTTCGTTTTCACGCTGTTAAGGATATAAAAATTGTAACTTGGCACTCAGATACAGATAACCTTCTCCTATCTAGTTGTCCGCCGTTTCGAAGTTTTTTGATTGGAAAAGACGAAAGTTTTTTACATTTACGCCCAGTGAAACGATAGTTCTACTAAAAGAAACTACTTTTCAATTTCGATTAAAGTTTTCTTTCCAGAGTTTCCAAAGTGTGGACAATTGTCTAAACGTTTGTAAATGCTGCAAAAGCGACCGAAATTACCTATGGTCGTTCCATAAGTTCGTGGCGTTTTTACAAACCAATCATCAACTTATTAGGTTGTCTCATAAGTTTTTCCAATTTTGAATTTCTGAAGCAATAACTCACTCATACTTTTCAGTTCTGACTATGATGCGGAACACCGTTCGATAGAGCAAAACAAGCTCTATAAGATGGCATGTAAGTGTTGCACCAACTTCAGCATATCACGAGTTAGAAGCCGAAATCTGAGAACTTATAGATGTCCAAAAATTTGAAAATTTTCCGTAACTTTGCCCAAAGAAAACTTACCAAATCCCAAACTCGATCAGGCATATACACTCCACAGAACACATTCATATGTGCCGTTGCTGTATTTGTTTCTGCGTTAGAAACCGAGAAAACTAAAATTTTCAGGCTTCCAAAAAAGCGATGCTGCGCTGTTTTCAGGTAGATGTATACTGTAGGCCTAAAGAAGTACAATCACAAATTTCCAGCTTTCTATAGGCTCTAGTTCTCAAGAAATATTAATTTCAACATGTAATACCTTAGCAAAAAGAAGCTCGATTTGGTATTTCTAAAGAACAAGCGCTTCCGGTAAGTTGGAAGTTTACCGATGTATCACTAAAGGTCTGTAGTATACATTCACCCGTGCAAAAACAGCGCAGCATCGCTTTTTTAGAAGTCTGAAAACTTTAACACAGAAACAAACACAGCAACGACACATATGAGCATGTTGTTTGGAGCATATATGCGTGAATGAGCTTGGAATCTGGTAAGTTTTCTTTGGACAAGGTTATAAAGAAATTTAAATTTTTTTGGGCATCCAGAAGTTCTCAAATTTCGACCTTGAATCGTGATGTGCTGAAGCTGATGCAAACACTTACACACCATCTTATAAAGCTTGCTTTGCTCTATCAAACGGTATCCTGCATTCTAATCAGAATTGAGAAATATGTGAGTTGATGCTTTAGAAAATCAAAATTGAAAAAACTTGTGAGACAACCTATTACAATAAAAATCAATCAGAATTATATCCCTCGTTATAGCGCACGACCTTTTGGCACATTCTTGTTAGCTTCTCAATCTCAGTTTTTTGAACGGCAGCGCGCCGGGTCCCAAGAAAATCGTCTAAACCAGCGCTCAGACTGCTCATTAAAATCGAGGCATGCACCATTCATGAGGTTTGGCAGAGAGACGACCAGATAATAATCTGATATCGCGAGATTTGGAGAGTACTTTGAGTACTGAAGTACCCCAGTCAAACCATGGAGAACATTTTCTACGACGTTTGCCGTATGACGCCATATTTCGCCATGCAGAAAAACTCACTGGATCTGTCTGTTAGGCTTTTTCTGCGGTAGGACCTGTTAACGGTATGGTTGATCGTCGCCTACCTGTACAGCGATTTTCAGTGCAGAACGTCCTACCCATCCCCCGAAAAGTCTTGTTCAGGGACATCCTGCTCAGCCCCTGGTCTTTTGTAGCAATGTAATCCTTTTTGTCTCATTGCGAGCCTCATGTTCCATAATCGGCACAAAAATCTGTGCAAAAGCGCTTCTTTGCGTAAGGAAAAATGCGCAAATGCCGAAAGTGCTCCTTTTTGCCTTTCAAGATTTCCATTTTTGGAAACTGTGAGATCCGAGTGAATCAGATTTTTGCCGAAATCAGTCGACGTATTTCAAAAAACACAATCAGCCCTTCCAAATGATATACGCGCCTTGCCGCAAACCGACCGCTCCTAAAGATATGAAGACGAAAATGAAAAAAAAACGCTACGAACTTATGGAACGACCTAGTATTAGCCAAGCTAATGGTTAAATAAACTGCTCATTGCTGCGAACGCAGTTGTTAGAAGTCAGCTTGAAAGATGGAAATGATTGGGAGCTTTGAGCAGTCATTGTATTGTATCTTGAATATATAACAAGAGTTACATTTGGTGCAGTACCTGTGATGAGCACTGGTCCAGGTTTTCTAATCTCACTTTGCTTTTTAAACATGAAAAGTGTTTGACCTACTTGTTAGCCGTGAACATCGAAGTCAAATGCGGCTGTATCTGAGTGATCACCTCTGGGCATATAGTTGACTCAAATAGTTCTGCTGATGGCATTGGATATTCAGGCAACAGAAAACTAAATAGATACATTGAACGAGCAAACAAAAGCTCCGAGCCTCCACTTATTTTCGGTCAAGGGGATTCTTTGCAATGCAACAACTTTCCCAAAGTTGATTTCAAAATTAGTCATAATGTTTACCTCATCAAACTTCGGAATCCGTGTCCGTCGACTATTTTTGTTGGAATCTGATCAATAAGCATCATCATTGCGATCTAAATTATATAAGTTCACGTAAGTACACAGCATACATGTAAGGGGAAATTGATTGTCTTTAAGGATACGCAAGTGTAAGGTTGGTCTATTGTTTCGTTCATGCAAACATCAGTCTCCACAAAACATCATACCCAGAGCCAAGCGTAAAGTGGGCACGCTACACTGGAGGTTCGCATTGAGGGGTCAGGGAGAGGGGGGGGGGAGGGTCGTTATCAAGAGAAAGTGAGTTAGCGACATGATATTCGTTAATGATGTCAAATAGGCCCCTAACGCAAAATACTAATACCTTGATGTTTTGGCCCACCATCGTATACGTCAGTAAGCATGATGAAGGTCTATAAAAGCATAACAATCGTTTTCGTAATAAGCATGTCAAATAAACCCTGTGGGCCTAATTTCAGCAATGCTGAGGTTTCCAAATATTGGGCCATGCGAGATGGTCATTCAATCATGTTAGCTTTGTTTCAAAGGTGAGTTGACCATTTCTTCCTGCACTCAGTACAAAGAACTACCACTTCTTTGCTTACTTAAGAATCCTACTTCAAGTAACTTCCAAATTAAGGAATTAAGAGCATGTCAAAATCTCGCTTGTTCCATTTTTCGCTTAAAATATTTCAGAGTAGAGAAAAACCAATCAATCAGGCTTAAATCACTAGAGTGTAATTTACGAGGCCTACAAGGAATGGATACTTGGTGACCGTGGCCTTTTGAAACGAAACGTAAACCGTTAGATGTATCTTGAAGCGCTGATTCCAAATCTGCTTTCGTTATCTGCTGTGAGCTCTTCCGGAAGACGTTTTGAATATTTCTTGATACCAAAATTTACATTGTTTTGATGACATAATTCACCAATATCGTTAAAATGTTCACTTTTGCTCTACTAAAAAGCGTCCAAATAAAATAAAGCTTCACGTTAAGCTCAGGAAAACTATCTCCGATATAAACGAGTCTAGAAAGCTAGATACTGACAATTCTGACCGCTTAGATATCTTGAAAGAAATATGGAAAGAAGTTCGTGACTTCGTTCAGAGAGTCGCACAGCAGATAATGAACATGGACTTGGAATCAACGTTTCAGGACGCACCTACCGGTATACATCTTATGGCAAAAGGCCACGGTCATTAAGTAACCTTCCCTTGTTAAACTATCGAATTTATACATCTTTGTTGCCTCCCCTCGCGATTAACGTTGTTGCGTAGACCTAGCATGTTACCGTAACTCAATATTTTCGCAGGATTTTTCATTTGCATACTAAGGAAAAAAGATCATATCTTTCCCTCGAAGAAACGATTTTGGATGCAATTTCTGCTGTATAAAGAAGAAGGTTAAGCAATAACAACTTTATAAAAACGCAAGTAATTGGATGGTTTCAGGGCAAGTTAATGGGGTGTAGCACAACCCCTGAAAAGGTGTGGCAGCCACAGCTTTTCTGGGGTTGTGGCGCACCCCATTAACTTACCTTCAAAGAGAATTTTAGAGAACAAATTATATACACTTAGACAGGAAAAATCTCGTAGTCTTTGTGAAATTCAATAGAGCTGATTTCGTCTGCTTTCATTTGAGCAATAGTTGCTAGAAGCACAACCACTGCGAGCAGAAAATGGTACAGGCGATAATGTGAAGTAGACTCATAATTCAAAATACTAGCATTGATGTTTTGGCTTACCCTCGTATACGTAACAGCATAACGAAAGAACCGTGGAAGTATAAGAACATCATTTTCGTGATTAGCATGCCAAATAACCCCTATGGGCCAAATTTAAGCGAATTCTGAGGTTTTCAAAGTGAGATGGCCATTTCCGAGCAGGTTGATTTTGTTTCAAAGGTGATTTAACTACTTCTTTTTTACACTTAATGTAAAGTACTACTACATCATTGCTCACACTAGGGATCTCACTACAAATGGCCTTTAAAATATAGAATCGAGAGCAAGCCAAGGTATCGTTTATCCTAAATTTCACTTTCAATAAATGGACTATAGGAAATGGATCAGGCTCAAATCACTTTTGTGAGAATTATGAGGATAAGGCTATCGAATATATTTGTTTTTGCCACCTTTTCTTGCGATTCAGCGATTCACCTAGTAATGCCGTCTTAGATTATCTGTTTCAATATTTTCGCAGTTTTTCCATTTGCATAGGTAAAAAAACGACTGTATTTTTCCCTAAGAAAAACAATTTTGAATGGAATTCCTGCTATGTGGAGGAGAATGCCTAACAGGCAGCCATATAAAAAAGACAGATATTTGAATGTTATGAAGGTAAATTAATGGGGTGTGGCACAATCCCTAAAAATGTGTGGTAGCCACAGCTTTTCTGGGGTTGTGTCACACTTTACTAACTTACCTCCAAAAGAATTTGATCCAAAAAAATTTGAATCTTGTGGCTTTCATATAATTTGAGCCTGATTCGTCTTCTTTGCTATGAATTGGTGAAAATACAGCCATCAAAAGTGGAAAATGGGACAAAAGAAATTTTGGCCTGCTTCTAATTCTATAGTTTGATGGTTATTTGCAGCAGGATTCATGGTATCATCTACTATAATAATTCGCAGGTCCCCCCATCAAGTGTAAACATGTGGCTATGTGCAGCGATGACGTCACCACAAAGGGTGCCACATGTTTACCGTTTTGGGTTTATGAGCACCGGAACGGTCGAAAGCTCACAAAGAATCAAAACAAGGGAGTCGCAAAACCAAATGAGCAAACTTTGCGTGACAGTTTTTGCATCTGCCAGAATTTGAAATGGCTTTGTTGCTTTTTTGAAATATCGGCTGTTCCGATCTCACTTTAAACATTGCTTCCATATCAATAGGCGTTGTTGGATAAAACCACTACCGAAACCCTGTTTTTGAAAGGCTATTTTGAGCTAACCTTCATCTATACGAAGCATTCCTCAAATGTCACCCAAGACTTTTACGCAGATCTGCTCGGTTCATTGACTTTTTACGAAAATCCATTACCCTTCTTATGTGATACTGCGCTATTAAACAGTTTACATTCGAAAATCTGCAGTGATCGGTTCTTAGCTAATTTTACGTCGCGCATAGAGTATAAGTTGTTTTTGATCAAGAAAATCGCATTTTGAAACTAAAAATCTCCTTTCGAAGATGTAGTAGTCGTCTAAAAAGTAAGTTGATTTATCATTTTGCACAGAACCAGCCTCAGTTCTTACGGTTAGATATCCAAATGCAATAGTGGTTCAGCTAAGGCTCTAATGTCAATAATAATGAAAAGCTTGACTGCCTTAGCAGCTGGGATGAAATGTAAGCTGACATCCGGCATTAGTAGAGGATGGTTTCCTATTTTGATGAGAGGGACGACTAGGAGCATTGATCAAGAAACCAGCGTTATGGACAAATACAATTCCAGACTTCCGCATTTTGCTTGAAATGGCTTTGAGTTTTAATCTAAATACCGAAAAGTTGTATGCAATACGACTTTTGCTAAGAGAAAAAAGGTGAAGTTTTGGAGAGGTGGTCATCGCGAAGATTACTTCCCTCTTAAGACTCCAAAAAGAGCCTCCAATAGCAATAGCGTTACAGATGCTGTGTACTTACTCTGTCTGGACGAGCGAAAGCCACGTTTTGATGCAAACTTTTGTTTCAAATATTTTGGCAGTTTTTTTCGCCAATGACCCACACATTTTGAGTGCTGCCGCAGAGCTTCACTGATTGCAAAAAGAGTGGGTGCGAAAGTACAAACCATGGTGGTCAAAGTTTTTCTTCTGATATATTACACGTTCAGATCATGGTTTCTAAGCGCTATTCAGTGAAAAATTAAGAAAGAAAATCATTTTGCAGACATGAGCTAAGATCATCACAAAAAAAGATTTTTGAGACCTTTAAAGACATCTGCCACGAGTGCTGCGAAAATTCACATCATGTAGAAGTATGGCAATGGTTTTCGGAACATTGCCATTGCGTACAACTTTAGACATCGCTTGGAAAGAGTCATTTTGAATGCGCCATAGGAAAAAAATTATGGAGTGGCGATATCCTCGAAGGTGTTGGCGTATCAGTGCGATACGATACGACTAACGAATCTCAGTTTAGCAATGATAATTTCAGAGCCTCTAATTTTTCTTAAAAAAAACGTTAGTGGGGCTTGCCCCTTGAGAAGGGGCAATCTGAGACTGTTTTGAGTAACCAAGGGGCAATATAGTGCAAACATCATCCAACGGGTTATAAGCACAGTACGCGAAGCGGCATTGTCTACACAACTAAAAAAGTGCCACGAACACTTCTAGTGCTTAACTTTATATTTTATTAACTTACAAGACCAAAGTGCCGCGTAGCGGCACTTTGGTCTTGTGGATAAATATGGAGCAACGCTTTGTATTGAATAAAAGAGGAGAGACGGAAGATATACAGCAATCTAACGGCTAAATTCGCTATCTTCTTATATATAAAGCTGAATGTGTGTTTGTCTGTCTGTCTGTATGTCTGTCTGTACGTATGTTCCGAATAGAAAATTCCATTTCTGAACCGATCCGGACCAAACTTGGCACACATACACTACGGGCCCCGGCGGGTGTCATAGGCTACTTTTCGTCATCGATCGATATCGATTTTATCGATTTCTTGCAAAATTCGAGCTACAGGGCTGGGAGTTGGCACAGGGGTAATCGAGCATGCTGATCACCCCCGTGGGGGTGATCAGCATGCTTGATTACACCCCTCTGCCAAATTCCAGCCCCCTAGCTCAAAATTTGCAAAAAATCGATAAAATCGACATCGATCGATAACGAAAAGTGGACTGTGACACCCGCCGGGGCCCGAAGTGTATGTGTGCCAAGTTTGGTCCGGATCGGTTAAGAAATGAAATTTTCTATTCGGAACATACGGCGGAGCCGGGTAAGCCAGCTAGTAAGGCTATAATTATGATTTGAGCACATTAGTGCACGGCAAGTTCACTGTGCTAGGTTATTCATTAAAACTTCTTTGCACGCTCTTCTCTTTTAAGTCTCTCACATTCATTTTTCAGAGAAATATACGATTT